TACTACTACTACTAGAAACTACTACTGCTACTACTAGCACCAACGCCTCTGCTACTGTGATCATACGTTGTATCGACGTGGTCGCACCGAGAGCCCTGGAACCGCTTAAAAACACAGATTCAGCGAAACTCAAAAAGCCCTAAGTCCTGGACCTCAGACGTTTCAACCGTTAAACTTCGACCTCAACAACTCTTAGGAATTTGGAGCCCGCATGGGCCAGCAATCCTCAACTGCAAAGCCACTCTACAACTCTTTCGCAGGCACGGTCCTCATGTGCCGCAGCACGGACCTATGCCTGTGCGATGTGGCACTGCCTGTGGAGTTCACGGTTGGGGACCGCGGAGCAGTGGTCATTGCAGCATGTCAGTGTCTGTGGAGAATATACTTAAACATGAGGAATTGAATGAAGAGTTGTTCTTTGACGTGATTGTGTTTGCTCGTTCTTAGTTTTAGTTCCAGCTGAGATCGAACTATTGTTGCATTGTTCTCGTGTCCGGCCCTGCTTGACCCTGATATCGTAACGCCAGTTTCAGTTTAGCAAACACCGCGCTTCCCCACGAAGTGCTTTCATCGCATCATAGATCTTCTGATCACTAATCTGTGTCTTGAAAGGAGTTGGTCCATTCTGATGCCCTGGGAGCGAAGGCTCGCTGGCAGTCTCTGACCGAAGCTTCAGGAATGCCAAGCCTACCAAAGCCCGGTTCTTGTTTGTAGCTCGACATGTGCAGGATGATCGCGAGCGGGGATTCTTCCGGGCAGAGATTTCCGACCTATGTTGCTGTACGTTTTGCGGTTTTCAGGTTTTCCCCAACGTGTGCCTTGTCTTCTGTTGTTTGTTTGCTGGTGGCAGTGATGTTGTGGTTGTGGCGCTCGTTGTCGTGGGCGTGGTCGTTGTGGTTGTGGTTTGTTGTTGTCCTCTGCAGTTGTATGATAGTCGTGGTTGCTTCTGCCGGTTTCCGGGTGCTGCTGTTGGCGGCTGACTTTGGAGACTTTTCCATGCCATCTTGCCCAGTGCTCTGTGACGGCTGTATTGCCTGACTGTGTTGATGGCGAGTGCATGTTGTTCTGTCTGGGCTCGCTACCTGCCGGTATGCATGCATGACTAATTAGATTCTGTTAGATGAGGCTGCTTCCGGTGCTGCAATTGCTTCTGCAACTATAGTAGTTAGTACTACTCGTCGTATCCTGCCCTGAAGCAAACCGACGGGCTTCCACAGCTTACTTACTTCGCGTGTCACTACTATGCATCGCGCTTCTCTCAACGACCTTAGTGCTGTTTTGTCCGCTTCTGTCATCCTGTCTCGCAGTGATTGTGACAATGTCCTACTCTGTTTTAAGTGTTTGTCCTGGAGGCAAGAGTCAGGCACTCTTTCCCTGTGCTATCAGTACCCCAAACTTTTTCAACATGTCTGCATAGGAGCTCAGCTTACCCCTGATGTGAACTCTCGACCTTGTCATGGTCTGGCGGTTTGGCTAAGGTACTGCAGTTGAAGCAAGATAAGGTGAGCCTAATACAGGCGCTTTAATAGTTGCCTATACTTTTTTTTTTTTTTTT